TCGTTTCCAGCCTGGCCCCACTGAGGCAGCAGATGAAACTGTGATGGAGGAGACATCACTGTGGAAGAGAAACCATCATCCCTTCCCAGGGGGAAACTTCCTTAGTGCTGATTTGGAGCACTGTGGCACAGGTGAGTGAGAGAGGTCACTACTGGGAAATGACCACACAGGCTCAACCTCTTTGCCTTTTCCACCACAGCTTCAAAATATATATATATATATCTTTGTATATTAATATCTATATATATCTTGCCTCAGTTCTAAGGTTCTAAGGTGTTCTCAACAGCCTTCCCCTCTGGTCAACTCCAGTCTTAAATTGCAATTATTTGCCTTCCTGTTTCTTTAGTTTTCTCTTATTTTGATCCATAATCAGCTGGGGGGTTTTGTGGTGTGGTTTCTTGGGCATTTGGGGGTTTTGTTGTTTTTAAAATCTTGCCTTGAGCTACTCCTTCCATGTTACTTTTCTTTAGGATTTGTGTTTGTAACACCAAGAAGTGCTCTTCCTGGTAACTCTGCTTTTACAAAGGACTGACTGACGTGACTACAGTTAGAGCAGATGTGTGGATTTGCAATCAAGTACAGCAAAAGACAGGGGTTACTCTTCAGAAACACAAACCTTTGGAGATGCACAATCCATACTTCTGCTTCCTAACTGCATGCCCAGCTTTTTGTTGCTCAAAATGTCAATTTGAACTATGGGGTGTCAGAGACACTGAGGCGATGGAGATGGACCTTGATCTCTCCCACCCTGTGTAGTGTGAGCTCATTCTACAGATCCTGCTGGAATAAAAGTTTCTGTGCTTTGAAGAGCCATGGGCTCAGAGCCATACTTACACAGGAAAATATACTGTGTATCTCAAAGAAAGCAGGCTCCTGCTCAAGTAACTTCTTTTTTCCCCTCTGCCTTCAGCAGGAGTCCAACCATAGTTCCAGGAAATCAGTTTTGTGGCTTTTCAGCCCACTGAGAAGTGGACAGTTCTGTTACAGTAAAGTCCTCTGATATCAATCTAGGCATGTTGTGACTTATTCTTCTCCTTCACTCAGAAACAAGAAGTATTTTTGTAATTCCTGATTTATTTTCCCCAGTACATGATTTCTGATGGCAGGTTTCACCTTTATTTTGCAGCTGACTGGGAGAAAGGAAAAAAAAGCCAACATTCACAGCTTAGACTGATGACTGTGGGCTCTTGTTCTTGTGGAGAGGACTGGGATGGCACAAGTGGTGATCCAGCTACTTCTGCAGTACATCAAGGACAGTTTTTTGACAGAAGGGCTCAACAAGCCGAGTGGGGCTATGCTAGACATGCTGCTCACACATAAGGAAGGGCTGCTGGGAGCACTGACACTGCTGGCAGCCTTGGCAGCAGTGACTGCAATGTAGCAAAGCTTACAATTCTGAGGGAAGTGAGGAAGATAAACAGTTGAACTGCAGTCCTGGAATTTAGGAGAGCAGACTTTGTTTCCTGCAGGCATTTTGTTGGCAGAATCCTGCAGGAGACTGACCTAAAGGGCCCAGGAGAGCTAGCAGCAGCACAGGAAGAGTCCATCCTGATCTGCAGGAAGCTGGGCAGACATGGGAGAAGGCCAGCATGGCTGAATGGAGAGCTCCTGACAAAGTCAGAGGCAGAAGGCAAGGACACAGACTGTGGAAGCAGGGGTGGACTACCCTAGAGGAATAAACACTGCCCAGGCATGCTGAAATAGGAACAGGAAAGCCAAAGCTCAGCTGCAGTTGGAATTAAAGAGGGATGTGAAGGACACTTCCAGTACATTAACATGGAAGGAAAAGTAAGTAAAATGTGGGCCCCAGTACATGTGAGGACAGGGAGGTGACAGAGGTACACTCATTGCTACTTTTGCTTCAGTTTTCAACTGGAGAGGTCTGTGCTTGGAGCTTTGGGCATAGTTTGGGCAGTGAGGTGCTATCCCCAGGACATCTGAGTGAAGGACTGCTTATCCTGCATCTCTGTGGGAAAAGCTGGGCTTGGTTCAAGGATACAGGCTGGTACCATTCCTGTGCAGCTGAGCACTGGAACACAGAGCAAATGATGCTGGGGAGTCTCCATTCTGGAGACAGTAGAAACTTGACAGGCTGTGAACAACCTGAGCTGGTCTTTGAAATTAGCCCTGTTTGAAGAGGAAAGGGAGTTTACCACATGATCTCCAGAGGACAATTTCAACCTAATAATTCTGCTGTTCTGTACAGTAAAAACAACAAAAATGTGGTTCTGGCTGCTGCGATAATCAATACTCAGAAGCTCAATATTTCTGTAGTTGAGCTCTTTCCTCTGTAAATGTACAATATAAAATCCCCTGATGAGGAACTCACCTGTATTTTGGAAGTCCTTGGGGGCACCCAGAGGGAAGCTGCAGTGGAGCTCTGCCAAAGCAGCCACAGCAATGGCAGCAGCAATCCCTACAGCTCACCCTTTGCTCAATAGCTGAGTGCATCCCAAAGCTCCGGCCAGGGAGCAGCAGAGGGAAGCAAAGCCTTCAAGGAGCTGCTCTCAGCAGCTGTGTGCACAGGAAGCCTGTGGCACATCTAGGGATCCTTCCCAGCCTGTATTGCTCCTGTCTTTTCCCATACCCCAAGACTTCAGTCCTCTGGCACTCCCATTTGAAAGAGCACGTCCATCTGCCTGTTTTCCCCTGCAGGACAAATGGTTGTTCTGGAACCAGCTGCATATCTGACCTGCAGCCCCTGTTTTTCTTCATTACAACTCTTAAAGGTTCATTGTAGTCTATTTAGCCCTATTAAATTAGACAAAAGGCTTAAAGTACTGGTGATATTCTGTAGAAGGCTCAGCTTCTATCACAACAGGTCTTAAGCCTTTTAAAGAAATCTAATTTATTATTTTATTTTACCACCAGGATGCTTTAAACAGATGAAAATAGTTTGGTCCTTTGGTTCTTTATTAAAACTTATTTAGCAGCATCTCTATAATGGAACCAGAATACTTTCAGGTGTTTGTCAAATCCTGTTTTTCTCAGCCATCAGAAGTTCAGTTTCCCTTACAATAGCTCATGGGAGCTCCTTGCAAATTATCCTGAAATACCATACTTTTAGGATCCATATATATAGCTGGTACTATCATTATATGAACTGAGGATAATAACTTATTATGTAAATAATAAATACATGATTCATCATCAGAATATTTTTTCAAGTAAATAAATTGTGCTTCCCTAATAGTGAAATAGAATTTTAAAAAATACATTTCTACTTGTAAATCAAATTGGGATTTGCTCTATTTAGTGATTTTTATTTTTTTTAACCATTCCTCAGTGAGATACAATTAAATCCATAATTCCTGTGCTTATTCTTAAAATTTTAGCCTTAACATGTATTTCCTACTGTTTATCTTTGTTGATTACTAAAGGAGAAACATCCTTTGCCAGATGCTGGTTTCCTTGACCCAAACACTAACCTACCTACCTAGCAGTATTTCACTTGCTCCTTCTTTTCCTGTCAGTCTTCCTATCCTTAGGTTCTCACCTTCAAGAATGTATTTTCCACATCTTTATTTCTCCTCTCCTGACCAGCCCTTCTCCTGCTTGTACTTCTCCACATTTCAATCTACACTTTCTCCTATGGCTCTTTTTTAGGAAAAAAATTTTGCTAATGCTTTGCAAACTCTGCAGAAAGGCATAGAAAGACAAATGCAGGAATGGATTGAGTAACTATGGAATGTTTTACTCAGGAGAAGGAGGTTTCCATCACTGCCTGGCAACTGTCATAAGAGGCAACTGTTAGAAACCTACAGTTCCTCTAACCTTAATTGAGACTAAAAGCAGGTAGCATAGTCAGTTTAAAATAACAGAGAATACAGACAGCACATGGTTGTACAATCTCTGCAGGTTGTACAATCTCTGCAGATGCTGCCTTTCTCCCACTTTATCTAAGAAAAAATTAAGTGAATTCTATTAATGTCTTGTGCTATTTTAGTTTTGGCAAATAGTTAAATATATTTAGCACTAGACTTTTCACAGGAATAATATTCTGCTTTACTACATGCTCATTTATCATTGTCTGATTTTATTTGATGGTAGATAGCTATATCTTTGTAGATTTCCTCAGGTTTTTTTTTTTTTTAGTGGGATGGTTTACTTGATTATGGTTCTCCTACTAGCAGTGGGTAGCACAGTCAAAAGCTTCTTTGATGTCTCTTCTCTTTTGTATAGGCTATGTTGCAAGACTCAATAATGGCTTTAAAATGTAAACTCTCTTACTCTCAGTTGCTGGCCACTGGTTTTGCCCCTCGTACGGGTGTGGAACACCGGGAACATCCTGGCAGCCCCTCACAGGGCGGGGATGAACCAGGGCTGTGCCTGGGAACGGTGGGAGGTGAAGAAAGTGGAACCGCCGGAGGAAGGAGACGTGGCTGGAGGCGAGGACACAGAATCGCAGTCCCTGGAGATCACCCGGCCAGTCCCGCTGCCAGGGCAGGGTCACCTGGCGCAGGTGACACCGGAGCACAGCCCGGCGGGTTCGGAATGTCTCCGGAGAGGGAGACTCCGCCACCGCCCTGGGCAGCCTGTTCCAGTGCTCTGCCACCCTCAGCGTAAGGAAGTTCTTCCTCATGTTGAGGTGGAACTTCTTGTGTTTTGTTTTATGGCCAGTGCTACCCGTCCTGTCGCTGACACCACTGAAGAGTCTGACACATCCTCTTGGCACGGCCCTTTGAGACATTTACATGCATTGAGGGGGTATCATGAGTCTTCTCCGGACTAAGGGGCCCTCAGCACCCGCAAAAGTGTTACAAGGGACCGACCGCGGGTCATTTGCTTTCCCCACGAACCAAGGCAGAGCCGGAACCCAGCGGGGAGCGAGGCGTGGCTGTTCCGGTGCTACCGTGACGACTTCCAGGAAAGTCACTCAGTTCTTCCTTCCCTTCCCGCTGCACAAGCGGAGCGTCCCGCGGGCTCCTCTGCTCGCCCTCGTCCCGCCCGTGCCCGCTCCCGCCGCCGCCGCTCCCCTCACGCCGCCGCGGCACCGCGGGATGGCGGCGGGCGAGGAGGAGAGCCGCGAGTACCTGCGGCGGCACCGGCTGCCCGAGCTGCTGCACCGCCTCGGAGCGCTGCTGCTCTTCCACCGGCCCGGTGCGCGCAGGCCCGGCCCCGCCGGCAGCGGGGACAGCGGGGGCGGCGGGGCTGCGCGGCCTCCGCGCCCCGGCTGAGGCCCGGTGCCCGCGGGCACTCTGACCTCCTTGCAGAGCGGCCACGAGAGTTCCTGATCCAGGTGCTGGAGCGGGTGAAGGCTGGCAGGCGAGCCGAGGGCGAGTACCCGTTCCTCATGGACGAGGCCAACGTGGAGGCCATGTTCAGCCTGCTGGATGTCCTGGGCCAGGGCTCCATCCGGGCCGCGCAGTACAGGGAAGGTGCGTCCGCCTGCACCCGGCCACACCAAACTGTTCCCTTGCACAGAACTGTTCAAATAACTTCAAAGTTACCCATCTGTATACTTCAAAATTATCCACACAGCTGCCCACACAACCTGGAACTTGGAAAGTTGAAAAAAGTTACATGTGGTTAAGTTTCCTAGTTTAAGTTACATGTTGTTATCCTCACACATTTACTTTCTATTAGATCTAGGCATCTTTAAATTTAAATTTGGCATTCTAAAAACTCGCATAAGAAATTCTCTTTTGTTAACTTTAGCCCTTAAAACTTTGGGACTGAGCACTGAGGATTTAGAGCTAAAAGATGATGTGGAGATCACACTGCATGAATTCAAGGAAGGAATGTAAGTTTAATTGAAATTGTGGTATTGGTTTTTGGTTTGGTTTTTTTTGGGGGGGGCATATGCATAGGAGATACTTTACTGAGATTTATTTTTTATTTACAAAGCTTACATAATTAACAGATGGTTTAATTGCTAGTTTAAGCTCGACTGTGTCACTTTGCATTGCAAGATTAAAAAAGAGGTCACTTAGTGCCTGACCTTGCCTTGCTGTAAGGTGAACTGAACTCCATGCCCTCCACTACCTCAGTTTCAGGATCCTCTCACAGCACCCACCCCTCAGGTCAGAGTGAAGTCATCAGGCAGCCCAGGGTTAAAATACTGATCTAGAAATGTGGAACAGTGAGACCCTGTTGTCATCTTTGTCAGGGGTGGTAGCACAGCTGGAGATGAAATAGGTTCAGAGTTCAGATAATTCCTCACAGTCAAGGTATGGTTCTAGGAGCAATTTTTTAGTAACTGTTGCAATTGCTGAAACGTAAGGAACTAATTATCCTCATTATCTAACTAGAGATTTTCTTTTTCTGTCTTAGGAAGAAAAAGATGCTGGAGAGCTGGTCTGTGTATTAGTTTCAGCAGTGGTCTGCTGTATATATTAAAAACAGGCATCTTCCCCTAATTTTTCTTCTGGTTTGTCAGCTGTGAAGAGTTAATTTTAAGCAATATTCTCTTTTCTCTTTTTCTCATCTTCCCTGCCCTTCAGTGGAGCAATCAGCTGAAGAGGACAAGTGACAAGAACATGTGCATGTCCAGCAGGCACTGGAGGGAGTATAGATAAGAATTGCTCTTCTTAATATAATTAGATGGTTTAAAAAAAAAAGTAGAGATCTCTTTTGCATCTGAAATAGTATTTTGGAGTCTCCTCCTTCAGGTGATAGTTTACAGTAAAGGATTGTTACCTGTTGGCTCATCAGCACTGAATAAAATAAAGTTGGTTTTTGCGCTTGTGCTGCATTTTGGTTTTCAGGTATTTTTAAGGAAAAAACAACTCCAACAAGTTATGACAAATGTCCACATGTAAATGACCACATGCAGGTAGCACTTCCAAGTGGTATTTTCAAACTTAGCACACAATGTTCAATTTATAAGAAGAAAGTTTTTTTTAAAAATTAGGCTATTGTTTTTTCTGTAAAAGACTATCTTAATTTGTATGAAGAAAACAGTGACACATTCCTTCCTTCTGCATTGATAATATACATTTTAATACAGAACATCCATTATCTGGAATTTGGAGATCTAAAACATCTGTGTTTAACTCAAGACTGAGCAGTTCATAGGGAACATTAGCCCACGTTGTACAAAACTGCATTTACACTGAAAATACTCTATTCCTTAGAATGATGCAGACAAGGCAGACTATTCCTTAGAGATGAACAGTTTTTTCTTCCAAATGCAATGGCAAGGTGGCCATGGAAAATAAGATCTGCACAGTTCAACACCAAGGCAGTAGCATTTTGAATTTTTTCTTTGAACTGTATAGAATAAGGCATAAGATTCAATTAAAACAATCTCTCAGCATATAGAAATGAAAGAAAGAAGTATATTACAAGATATTCACTTTGTTTTCTCTTGGAATAAGTAATCTAGACCAAGTTATTAACCATTTCTGAAGAAGTCTTTATTTTCCTGTATTTGGCCAATTAGCTCTCAAACTGAGAAGAATCTCAACATCCCTTTGAGCCAGTTTATAAACTCCAAGTTCATTTAGTGCTGCTATTGCAGATGGCTGGCTGGGCTTTAATGGTTCATTTTCTGAAGCTGACTGCAGGACATCCTTCAGAAGCAAAGCAGAGCCAATATTCAGGTTCAGGATAATGCAGGCTTCTTTTATGCTAGAGGAAAAGTTACATGGATTAATGTAAGCAGCAGAAATTTAAGTGTAACAAAAAACCCTTCCATGCTCCATGTTGGTTTAGAAATGTTCAGATTTCACCCCCAATCAGCTGAGGATTTTGATGCTGGACTGTTTAGGACACTCTGGGCCTGTGAAATAGACTAACCAGAAATAAAGTAGCAGCTTCTCATCCCTGACAGCAACTAGACTGCCTCACAAGGCAATCCTGAGTAAAGTAGTCCTTCTAACAATAGTTTGTTGTGTTGTAACTGTATCTTTGACTAGTTTCTTTGGCCCCAGATTCAGAAGTTTGTGCCTCTTAATATTCCTTCCATGATTTTATCTAGACATCCTGACTGCACAAAATACTCCAAGACACATGCCATAGCCTGTTGCTGTGTGAGTACATGCTGCAGAATCACTTTCCTAGTTGAAAACATCACACACATAAATGATCCACATTTAAATTGTGGATCAAAACTAATTGAAAAAATCTTGGTTTTAAGTAGAACACTTGTATATCTCTAGACACACCTTTCTGATACCAGTAGATCAGAAGTTTGCCTACTTACTGCTTGAAGTAGTTTTCTGGCCTCTTGCAGTAATGTGAAAATAGGGGGAACAAATTCCGACTCATGTCGAACTGGAGTTGTGCTGCTCCTCCTTCATTGAAATGATTTGCCATAATGATCTGCAAACACAAAGAGGTGCATCTGCTGTTTGAACCAGTCACTGACACCTACAGGGCGCTGCACAGGTCACCCTGACACCCACCTCCTGATAGATGTACAGATCCACTTTCTCTGCAAGCATTTGCCAGAAGATTTTGAAGAGTGAGTGGCAGAGCTGCTGCTCCAGTTGCAGCAAACGGTCTCGCAGCGTCTGCAGCATCGGGCACGCCGTGCTCGACAAGGACATCACTGCTTGCTCTGCTTGGGAGGGCAAAGACAACCACCTAAAGAAACCATTGCACTGCAGTCATTAGAGTGAAATTATTCATGTTACAACAACTGAGTTCAACAAAGTACAACAAAGTTCAAATTACCCTTTAAAAAGAAATCTTACCCATTTACAATGTTCCAGAGAATCCTTTCCCATTTCTAATCTAAAAGTTATCAGTCTAATGCTGTGTTTGAATTTCATTTCATATTAAACTCATGCTTTAGTTATAAATCTCTGAACATGTCATTCTAGGGAACCCTATCTAATCTGAAAATCATTGAGTTCTATTCCTTTTATTAAGTACTTCAGAAATTCTACTCAGAAGAAAATATTCAAGAAGCCCTAGGAGTCTGTTAAGACAGAACAGTCATGACAGGCCATTTTGCATAAAATCTTCAATACCACTATGAAGAAAATAATTCCTGCTCAAAATAGAAAACTAGTACTATCCAGAATATTTCCTAGGATTTTAAACTAATACATCTAACTAATTGTGGAACTTCTTTAGAAAACATAGCATGACAATTGTCCCCAGGCAAGAATAAAGAGTATTTTTCAGAACTTACTACCCTGCAGCTTTCCTACTCCAGAAAAAAAAAATTACTGCCTATTATCTATTCTTGCCTTTACTTACCTCAATATTTTTAACAGGAAATAATCCTGTAACATGCAAAGAGATTAAATAAACAGAATCACCTCTCTTTTTTGTACAGCTTTGCAGCATCTTTGACCTCTCTGAAGACATGATCTACTTGTCGTGTCAGCATGTCGTGCTTGAGGCGCTCCAGGAGGTTGATCATGTCATCAAAGACAGAGCTCTCCATGGATGCCAGCTGTCCCAGCTGGAGCTGGCTCATGGTGTCACTTTCTGCACGGACCTCTAGCTCAGCCTGCTGCAGCTGCAAGAAGAACTAGGCAAACAAAACCAGAGAGGAACACCACAGCAAATAATCTTTCTCCTTGAACTTTTCACTGGTACTTTGTTCACACAGTTGTAGAAAATACTCTCCTCTGGCACATTTATAAAGTTAAAAATTTAAGATTTTAAAAACACTTTCTTGTCCTTCCCTGTGGTCCTGATTTAGTGAAAAACAAAACATGCTGGCTTAATCCTAGTGATGGAACTGATACACGTTTCAGATACAACAGCAGATAGGTAAAGGGAAGAGATCTAAAGAAATACTGAAAAGATATTTTAAGATTGACAGCAGCATGCTTTTAAAATACCCTACCTTGGTCTCCTTAAGATCTGCAAAAATAAACTTTAATTGTAATTTTTTTAGCAATGATTATTCATTTGAATCATAAATTTACTGTGCTGACAACAGCAAGAAAATTAATTTAGTTTATGGAGATCATTGTGGCAACAGCTTGTTGGTTTTGCTTTTAAGCAGATCAAGACACTAGTAGATGCAGTTAAACAACATGAAGGCTGCTATCCTACCAAGTCAGGATTATCCCCTGCTAGAGCCACAGCTTCCTGTGAAGACAGTAAGAATTTGGAGGCAGCCCACAGCCCACACAATGCCTTATTCTGCACACTCCATGTGTAAAAGGTTTTTTGACCTTCAACAGCAATAGCTGCAGAAAAGCTGCAATTCCTCACTAGGCCGTGCTGCCACCAGGCTGTTGTACAGCAGTCACTAATTCCCAGTTATCAGTGAGTGGCCTTTCTGGGCCACACCTGAACTGTGCTGCAACACAGATACACACATGGATCTGTCTAGGCTCTCCTGCCATGGGAAGAGTTCAAGCACCAGGCAAAGGCTGCTGCTCTGGTTCAGAGATCTTCAAAATCAATTCACCTTTTTTTACAATAAAAAGCATGTAAAAGAGACTAGGTTCTTTGGTCTCTTCAGATTATTCCATTTCCCAGGCTCTCTCTGCATTTCCCTAGAAAGTTCATAATTGACAGCTTAGGCTTCAAACAGTAACCTGTCCTTATTTATACATCTTTTACTAAATCCAAATTTATATCTCATTCTACTTTTTCAGTAATTAATTCTCCTGAATACACCCAAAAAGCACTGAAAACAAAATGTTTGTTACAAAACAAACATCCCAAGTCCATTTTAAAGTATTTTTTTCCTAAAGAAGAATATTTACTTTTACTTACTACATTGTCAGCCCAGTCTGCCAGCACTGTTGCTATGTAGTTAACAGCATTAAGGATTGCGCAGTATCGGAATCCCAAGGAAGCTCTTGTCTCTTCCTTCATCACCTGAGTTAATCGTATCCTGAAATCATCCACTAACTCCTTCTGTAGGCCCAGGAACTGGAGTTTTCTGGAAGGTGTTGGAAGATTCTTATACCTGTCTGGAAAGACATTAATAAAATGGTTTTAGGCTTT